TAGAGACTACATTAGTATACACGTTTATATATTATAAGTTGACGAACTAAAACTGTAGAGACTACATTAGTATACACGTTTATATATTATAAGTTGACTAACTAAAACTGTAGAGATAACATTACCTTCCTGATCTCCAGGACTACTGCTAACAAGCGGAGTACTAGAGATTATGGGGGCGTCCAATAGCTCTTCTCCACTTCCTCCGACGTCCACTGTTTCCTCTTCGCTGCTGCAGCCTTCCATTGCGTCTACACTGTCCTGTTTGGGATCCTCATTTGTCGCTGGAAGGTGAGCTTCTGTCATTGGAAGTGACGGACGCCTAGAAATACTATTGTTTCTTTAGCACCAGCTTCTGGAACACAATTCTGCTATAACTTTAAAACTTCTGTATCAGACTTATCCGCCTCTTTAAAGCTATTATACGAAGCGTAACCCCTGTTTTAACATTATTGTACAGTGATTAATTATAATAGCTTTCATTGTTTATTACTTTACTTTTTTTTTGTACGCGCGATAAAAGTGTTATTATTTTTTAAAAAGCAGCGAAACACGCACACACTTGATGTGTAAAAAATGTCAGAAGGTTTTAAAAAGACTGCTAATATCCACAAAAGCTTGAATATTATTTCAAAAATGTAAAATCAGATTTTACGATCTTTGATATCTAGATAATTGTAAAGCTCAACTGGTCAGACATTCACACAAACATAATACAAACACATAAATAGGAATACAGATATGTAGACATTCACACAAACATAATAAAAACAAATAAATAGGAATACAGATATGTAGACATTCACACAAACATAATACAAACAAATAAATAGGAATACAGATATGTAGACATTCACACAAACATAACAAAAACAAATAAATAGGAATACAGATATGTAGACAAACACACAAACATAATACAAACACATAAATAGGAATACAGATATGTAGACGTTCATACAAACATAATTAAAACAAATAAATAGGAATACAGATATGTAGACATTCACACAAACATAATAAAAACAAATAAATAGGACTACAGATATGTAGACATTCACACAAACATAATACAAACAAATAAATAGGAATACAGATATGTAGACATTCACACAAACATAATACAAACAAATAAATAGGAATACAGATATGTAGACAAACACACAAACACAATACAAACAAATAGATAGGAATACAGATATGTAGACAAACACAAACATAATACAAACAAATATATAGGAATACAGATATGTAGACATTCACACAAACATAATACAAACAAATAAATAGGAATACAGATATGTAGACAAACACACAAAAAAAACGTTTATTATCGTTCAGATAACAATATATAGAAACACGAGAAACGAACGAACGTAGAGATAGAGAGATAGAGATAACCTTACTTTTTATCTCTTCTTCCACTCCCAGTGTCTCTGAAGCCTTTAGCAAACGGATTATTCTCTATTTTCAGCTGCGTGATCTGGAGTTAAAAAAATATTTTTAATTGTCAGAAATATGGATAACTTATAACAGTGTAATCAGTAGAGACTTTGATAATCTACTATCAGAAACATAGATAACTTATAACAGTGTAACCAGTAGGAACTTTAATAATCTACTGTTAGAAACATAGATAACTTATAACAGTGTAACCAGTAGGAACTTTGATAATCTACTGTCAGAAACATAGATAACTTATAACAGTGTAACCAGTAGGAACTTTGATAATCTACTGTCAGAAACATAGATAACTTATAACAGTGTAACCAGTAGGAACTTTGATTATCTA